ACAGGCACTCACCACATCTCAGTTCCCTTATGAAGACAGGCTCTGAGTATCTTCTTCCGGCACTTTGAGAAGTCTCCCTGTCTATGCTAAGAGATCAATTCTGCCAACAGCTGACAAACCCCATCTCCTACTGAAGTCAAGGGGAGATAAGGGTGTTCAGCATGTCCGAGGACACTCATCATCTTGTCGGAGACGGGTAGTTTTCTATACTCAACATGAGTAGAGCTGGTAGAATATGTCTCTCAAAACAATCAAGCTCAGTTTAAGGACATTTCAGCCAGCATTGTCCAAACTCACCAGGGTCCGCCAGTAACGGACGCCGAGAATTCTCCTTGCTTCATCAGAGAGGAAAACTCAGTGGGTGCTGCCTACTGCCTGGGTTTGCCATCTGTCAGGCTTACTGTGTTGGGTTATTTATCAGCTTTCCGAACCGCCCACCAGGGCATGGCTCAATCCACTGGGAATTTCATTCTGATCCAGTGCATGTTGGAGATAAACATGCTTTGCCTCTCTGCCTCTCCCTCGCTTACTGAGACCCAGGACACGGGAATTATTGTGGTTACCACTTATATGGCACCTGTCATCCGGAAGGATCCCGAAGTCCATTACAAACCGATTAAAGACGTTTGTAGGATTTATGTCTCTGGTCACCAAAATATGGCCTCCTCTCAGGATAGGACCCCAGTTTTTTAATAGCAAATTTCAACGCAATAGTTCTGGACAAGAAGTAAAGAGGATATTGTGTCTTTCTCCTTTTGCTTCAACGTTTTTATTGAACAAAGAGGTAAAAGAGAAATGAAATACATAAAACATATAAAGCTGAGTACATTATACAGCTGTATTCATTGGATCATAACATTCTATTCCATTCTAAGCACTTGTGCCATGTCTATCCTGTAGCATCTGAGCACCTCCCAGCAGTGCATAAGGCGATGTGACTGGCATCTGTCCCTTATTGTGCCTTTTCCATTCCTCGCCCCAGCGGGACATACTGAGATATATATATATTTTTTTAATGAAACACGTAGGCTGGGATTTCCAAAATTGCTCAAGCGACTTAGGAACAAAAATGCCATTGAAAGGCACTTAGCGCTCAGTCACGGGGGCGCTTTTGAAAATCTTGGTGGATGCGTTAGCCTATCTTAGCCTATGCATTAGTGATGGATGGCCCCTGAAAGAACTCTCTCTCCTGCCTATATAAGCTGTACTCTTGCCGTATCTGTAGATACGTGTGTGTAGATAGACAGTACCGTACGTATAAAGAGCGCCATCTAATGGTAAATAAGAATAGAATGTTGCTCATGAGTGTGTGGGCTAAATAAAGCTGTTGTTGTTACACTGCTGTGCAAGCAGCTCTTAAGAGACAGGATCAGGGTCTGAGGCTTCCATTGATGTCAGTGGATGATGGATTAGGCCCTTTGATTGTCATCTCTCCGGGGCAGGGATTGCACCGTCATACCAGAACATAAACCCAGCTAAGACCTGTTACCCGATAGGAACAAAAGTTCTGTGGCTCTGAACTAT